GTTAAAGATGCCCTTACTAGACGCAAATTTAGTAAAGAGCAAATAGAGGCTTTCATGTCAGATAAAAGAAAGGAAAACTCACTATAGAGAAAAGAGCAAAATATTGTGCTAAGACTGGTGATAAGTGGGATATTTTCATTCATACTCGTAACATAGGTCTAAAAAGTAATGATAATAAAGAAATTATCGCCAGTTATTCACGTCTCTCACTATTTCGTAATAAATTACAAGAGGCTGGTATTGCACGTAAACTTATTAATACTTATGCTAAAGACCCAGATGTCACTACAGCTTCTAACAAAATTCAGAAAGAACAGACAGATCAAAATTTAGCCAATAATCAGTTAAAAAATCAACCATATTTCTTCTTAGAAAAGAAGCTTAAAAGGATTCAGAACATCAATACTACCAAAGATTCCTCTATGCAAAATCTTGCAGATGTAATAGTTATGTTATATATGAGGCTAGCTAAAGTATCTAGCCTTCAGATTAATCATTATGAAATTGACCTATCCAATCCTCCAGCATGATATAAAAATGGTTATTCTTGATATTATATTGGATATGCTAAGAATAAAGGAAAAAATAAGGATAATCCAGAGCTTTGCCTATTCCTTTCCATAGAGAAAGATCCAGAATGTGTAAGAATATTGCTTATCTGGATTCAAGAGGCTATAAAGGCTGGAAAGTTGAATGATCCTACCTTTAATGAAAATGGAAAGCGTAATACTAAAGCATTTAGCAAGTTTCTGAAGCCTCATAAAATTACACCTAAAACATTAAGAAAAATAGGAGGTAAGTATGCTTGCAGAGTCCACAGTGGTCTAAACGTAACTCACCAGCATCTTGACCAGCTTAACAGAATCGCATTGAGACATAAGATCATCCATCATGACGCAGAAAAGAATTATGCTATAGGTAATATAGAATTAGAAGACTCTGATCCTGAAGATAAGCACAACTCAGAGTCAGAATCAGAGTCTACAGAAAATGATGAAATATCTGATATTATTAATATATATAGCTACTAAATTTTGCTAGATCTATCACCAATATGCGTAATTTTATTTTTTCATTCGCCTAAGATTTAGCATATATAAAATATCACGAAAATGGCCAAAATGGAATTAACTGATTAAAAGCATTCATCTGATGCATTCAAAGAGCAGGAAGTTATCAGATATACGAAGATATTAGCCCAAGCATTTGGACTAAATGAGCAAAATGCAGAAGTATATAGTGCACTTTTCAGTAAAATTGAGCACTAAAGAAACAATTGGAAGATTATTATTTCCAACATAACACTTTAGAAAAGAGGGTAAAAAGATTAGAGAGAGATGTAAAGTCCTTAAAGACTGAATTAGAAGTTCTGGATGAATATGTAGATAGGAAAACTCTGGTCGACATAATACATAAAATAGTACCCTTACTGATTGGTAAAAAAAGGTAAAAGTTTCTCCTATTTGTCTGAGTCTTCCAAAGAATCTGATTCAGTCAAGACAGTTGTGATAAGAGAAAATGAGGCTATTTTTCATAAGCAATGAAGGAAGTCATGACCAAAAAAAGTTAAATGGTTGGTAGTTTAAAGTGGGTTGAGCCAGAGTTTTTTGAACTATCGATTTGTAATATTATTCGTCTCTATTCAAATGTCCAGGCGTATTAACACTCGCTAAAGGTAAGAAACCGTTAGAAGTTTTGAAGATATGCTCTTGCATTTTTATTGGCTTCTTCTAATCCACTTATTTCCTGATCATAATGACCAATAATATCAAGATAATCTTGAATCACGCTTATATCCTCTTCCAAATATAAAAGCAAATAATATAATATCCTAAATGATATTTTCCCAAATGTTACATCATCAAAATCTTGCATATTTTCATATAATGTAGTAAGAATAGGGTAGCTGACCACATCGAGATCTCCCTGTACATCTATTAATTCCTTACAAAATCAAATAACAGCCTAAACGAATCTTCAAGTGTTTTTTCTTTTTTGCTTTGATTTAATGCTATTTGATATATATTCTTAATAGATCCCTTCCTTCGATCTGAAAGCATACCAAACTTTTTCTGAATAGCTATTATATCTTTCTTCTTATACAAAAGCGTTTCATATAATTGAGCTTCACTTTTATCAGAGCTAATATTAGTATTACTTATCATGATTGTGTTTATCTCTAGCTAGCATATATTCAAATTTGTGTCTGAAATACTGATCATCAACCAGAGTAGTGATCACTAGCTCAGAAGATTTTTGCTGAGCCACATGCACAATACCAGTTTATTTTTCTGATTGAAAATCTCTGAATCATATAAAATGCATATAGTTAATTTACTTGATCAACTTGCGTCAGAATTAATACCATTTATTCTAAAAAATCTTTTGATACAGGATCTTAAAAAATGTTGCAGTATAAATAATATATGGAAAGATGAGGTGACTCGAGAAATTCGTAAAAGATTAATAGTGAACTGTACATTTGTTGATGATGAAGTAACTGTTAAGGCATTGATTGACCCTAATTCTATGCATAATAGTATCAGTAAAGCGCTTGCTAAAAAAATTGGTTTATATATTACTAGAGAATTCAGATCAAAATATCCTGCAGTAAAAGAGCTTAGCATTAGCATAACAAATGCTGGCAAGAAAGTGATGGTAAGAGAATGGATTAGTAGAGAAGAAGTTTCCGTTTCTTTGCCAAATATATTCAATGGGTTAAAATTGCTACCTCTGATAATAACGGATACAGAAACTTTTGTAGTTGTTGACAAGCCTGAATATAATTTGATTTTAGGTAATAATTGGCTAATTTGGATGGGAAATAAAATTGATAAATGGGATGCCAGATATTGAAAAAATAATGAAGAGAAAAGACTTTATTATCTAAGAAATAATATTGATATACTGTCTCCTTTATTATATACATTTTAC